GCAGAGTAGTCAAATGATTGGACCACATGTTGGTCTATGGACATGTGTTTATTTAAATCAGATTACCCACAATCCGGCACAATCAGGTCTGGTGAAGCAGAACACTGTTCCATTTGTTTTTCCAGACCTGGCCGGAGTCAGGGGTAAAGCTTGTCCATTTACACACAGCTGCTCATAGATTAGCACTGGGCATCCAGTTGGGACCGCCTAAAAATCTGGCAGGTGGATCTGATCGGAGTGCCAGTGTGAAAGGAGCCTTAGTGTAGCGCAAACATGTTAAAAAAAAATACTTTGCTGAGGAATGTATATTTGTTTGATGTGGATTCAGATAAAAGATTGAACGTTTTATACTACTTTTAAGTTAATCTTAAAAAACCCAATGCATTCTACTACAAGACTGAAGACCTACCAGGAGTCATAATGACAGTGCCATAAAGGGCCAGAAGTAAAAAGGTTTATTGGTTTGCCTCTTCTATACCATGTTTGTCAGTGTTTTACCCTTACCACCTTATCTGGAAATGATGAGCTCTCAATCTCAGAATACTTTTGATGTAATTTTAGTATCACTATAGCAGGATCATTTCATGAATCTACTACATGAAGAAATCTATTGTTTGTCAGTCGCTGACACTTCCACAACACGTACCCAGTAAGTTAGGATCTACTTCGTTCCAATCAAAGGAGGTGAGGGGAGCGCAGAAGTCAGAGTTTTTGTTATTATTCAGCAGACACTCCAGGCGGGTCTCGGTCTCACCAACCTGTACAGAAAGGAACAATCTCAGTTGGTTGAAATGCATAGATAATCGGCTGATGAACAACTAGAAATGTGTGTGATGTTTTGTGGTATTGCATTCTATGACATTTACTCACCCTCCAGACACGCAGATAGTCCCCGCTTGTTGCCAGTAGGTCTGGGTACACCCCTTTAGTATCAGGAATCCACATAAGCTTTGTGGTGGGATATGGGTGATCAAAGGTGTTCCTGCAGATAAACTCTGAGCTTTCCTCGTCCAGACCAACCAGTTGAACCTGCACAAAGACAACTGCTGTCAGCTTATGTTCAAAAACTCACTCAAGAATCAACCAAAAACCATGGAGATAATCATTGAACAGAGTGAACCGATTCAGTACGTACTTTTTATTGTTTATCCGATTAACCGATTAATCGAACTTAATAATCGGCTAACTAATCGATTTTGAAAATAATCGTTAGCTGCAGCTCTACTAGTGACATCATGGCAATAGGCCCATGGGCTGAATAAAAACAATAACTCAGTTCCCCTTCAATGAAAGTGTGGATGGAGGAATCTTCCTTATTGGCAATTGTATTCTAACAGCTGGAACCCATAGTAACTGCATTCGATTGGCCAACATTTTTCTACCTGGCTCCTTTGACAAAAGTTCAGTGAATAACCGACCTGGGGAGCCAGGTGATGCCAACAGGGCCAGCCGCAGACTGAATTTCAACCAAATCAGCAAGAAACAGATGACATTTTAACCATGTATGGCTAGCTTAAAGAGAAAACCAATCATTCTGCTAAGGCAATGAGACCGTGTTTAGAGACCTGGTGGCATAAATGTTCAGATTGTGCTGCAAGTCTGACCACCTTATAATGGTGATGGCTTCAACTGGTCAGACTTTGTTTAAGGTTTTACCCGTCAGAGAAGCAGAATTCTCAATACTAGGTGGACTCGCGGCCCGGGCTCCTCAGCTCTTGGGGGACCCGCGACCATACAGTATTACAATGTAGAACTTTACCTCTGTACAGGAGCTTCCTGTAATAAACACCGGTCACTGCTGCTCTCTCTCCTTGTGCAGAGTGACTCGCTGGTCTCCGCCCACCTCCTGTAATAAAGACCGGTTACTGCTGCTTTCTCCCCTTGTACTGGGTGACTGGTCTCGTCTCCGCCCACCTCCTGTAATAAACACTAGTCACTGCTGCTCTCTTCCGTTGTACAGGGTGACTGGTCTAATCTCCGCCCCCTCCTGTAATAAAGACCTGTCACTGCTACTCTCTCCCCTTTTACAGGGTGACTGGTCTTGTCTCTGTCCCCTCCCGTAATAAAGACCGGTCACTGCTGCTGCTCTCTCTGTGTGCAGGGTGACTGGTCTTGTCTCCACCCCTCCCGTAATAAAGACCGGTCACTGCTGCTGCTATCTCTGTGTGCAGGGTGACTGGTCTTGTCTCCACCCCTCCCGTAATAAAGACCGGTCACTGCTGCTCTCTGCTTGAGCAGGGTAACTGGTCTTTTCTGCACCCCCCCCTGTCATTTTCTGCAGGCACTCTGTAGTGGGTGGAGTCACTAAGTCCCTCCCACAGCTCTGCTCTCTGCACAGGCTAAGTACAGCCAGTAATGAAGTCATAACTTTTTTTTATAAGACAATATCTGGACTTGTAAATGCATGCAATGCACATAAAGTGTATTTATATCCTTTGTGACTACTGAGGAATATATTCATTTTAAAAATGTTTGTACCCTTTAAGTGTATCATGATCACTGTAGGGAATGGTCATCTCCTACAACCCCCCATACCCGATGTGCTCAGACCAGCATCTGGTATAAATAAATACATGATGGCGAATCATTCCGCCTCCACTATGCTCACCTTATTATTGTATTCCTCCACAAAACTGCCCAGGGCCAACCGGAACCGCTTGTCCGGCCTCACGCTCCAATTCATGGCGTACACGGTCCATGGCGCCTCATACTTATAGATTTCCTTCCGTTTCCCGTGCAGGGACATGGCAGTGATTTTTCAGAAGCCCGTTACCGTAACACAAATAGCGAACCGTCCTAGAGATAGCACCGCGCCTGCGCACACCACCGACGAGCACTGCTGGACGGCTTCCAAGACTCAGCCAATCACAGGCAAGGGGAGGCCTGTCGACACAAACATTCCAAGAGACCGATGAGGACTTTGATTGGCTTACGGCGTCACGTCTCTCATTCGACGCGCCGTCGTGTGGGCGTGGCTGTTCTTGCTCGGCTCTAGCTGCGTTTCAAGACTCGTTTTGGTGTGAGGTAAAAGAGGCGGGAGCGGTGCCTGAGAGAACTATGGTGAGGGCGGTACTGGGCGGACATTATTGGGGATATGGGCGTTCTAGATAGTGTGGAGACCAGAGCTTGTGCTTTATTATTCTTCCTCCCAATAGGAGGGGCGAGGGGGTGTGGGGTCTCCTAAGACAATAGCAATGCTGCGAGAAAAAAAAGATTTAAAAAAAATATTAAAAATGTATACTTTATATATATATATATATACGTTATATATATATAAGTGTGCGCTTATGCTGCAATAATATCATTTAGAAGCTATTTATGCCAAAAGCTTGTGAGTGCGTTGCCCAATACAAGGGAAAGGCAATGAGGGGAATTTATCAAAACTGGAGCAGACAGAATTTGGAGCAGTTGCCCATAGCAACCAATTGGCTTCTCCTTTCAGTTCATTCACTTACATTTCGAAAACAAAAGAGAGAAGATGATTGGTTTGTCCAGTTTTGATAAATTCCCCCCAATGTGCCTATGTCCTGTTGCTTTAGTTCATTGGGGTAGCAGAGGCCAGTCCCCTCCTATGGGGCCTGAGAGTGGAAGGGGGCCCCATGAAGGCATCCTTTATGTTACTATAAATGACAGTAAGTCTATAGACGCGTGCACCCGCATGCAAACACCGTGGGACAGGAAGTGCCAGCAAGGACTATGCCAGCAAAGAATATGTTACTAATAACTTTCCATCTACAGTTGTGTCTTTTGAGCCTTCACTTGTTTGTGTTACTGTTCTCTCATCTTCCTTCTTTTTTTATTTTCCTACATTCCATTTTGCTCTGCTGGATTAGTGTGATCCTAGTTCATTTTATTACTTCATTGCTGTGCTGTATGTGTATAGGCCAATGCCTTGGCTGGCACTTGTGCAGAAAGTTTCTTGGGCAAACTCACCAGCCCAAGTGGCTCCGCCGGCTAACGGAGGGAAGGGGGGAGGAGTCCGGTGACGTCACGGGCATCAACTTCACCGGACTCCTCCCCCTTCCCTTCGTTAGCCGTCACGGACATCGACGTCACCGGACTCCTCCCCCTTCCCTTCGTTAGCCGACGGAGCCACTTGGGGAAGGGGGGAAGAGTCCGGTGACGTTGATGTCCGTGACGTCACCGCATCTCCGACGGGACTACCGGAAGCCGGCGGAGAGGTGAGTGTTTTCATTAGCGATCAAAATAATTTTCATCGATCAAAAAGTTTAATGATTAATCGAGAAATTAATCGTTAATTTCCGCAGCCCTAGTGGGTACCATAGCTTTTAGCTGTTTCACGGTAATTTGAAGGCTTGACGTGTTTGGTATCTGTGTATTTGACTCAACCTCACCTTTTATGTTTTAACTTTTTTTCTTCTTAGTTTTGAGTTGAGTCTTAGTTTAGAGTGGTGAGGGATTAGAACCTCTGTCAGGTTTTTTATTGCTGTCTGTATCAACACTGGGGAGGCACACCCTCTCTTTTCGTCCAAATGGACATTATCACCGCGACTGAAAGAGATGGGACAAACAGCAACAGAGGTTTGGATACACGTCTTCTGCAGAAAATGTGAAAGCCGCACAGCCGCGCCAAGGCACCTCTAGATAGTGCGGTCCTAACTCTAAACTATGAGAGTCTCCATCTTGGAGCACATAGGGCAAAAGATCAAATTGGGTGCAGGTTTGTCAGGAGGAAGCCCAACCTCCCTTAACCTCTTGCCGTCCGCCCGTAGTAAAAAAACGGACGGACGGCACTGCTACATCTGCGGGTTGCCGTCTCCAGACGGCAATTTTTTTCTGCTCGCGCGCGCCCCCTAGCGGGCACGCACGGGCCGAAAAGACCCGACGATTAAACACCCCCGTTACCGGGTGTTTCACATATAGGCGATCAGCGGGTCCATAGCCCGCCGATCGCCTATATGTGCTCGTTCGCGGCAGTCCGCCCACCCCCC